TATATATAAAAGTGTCAGTCTTTCCGGAACATTTTCAAAAGTTAAGTTGAAAAAGTTCTACTTTCTATACGCATTTTAAAAGGTTTGCACCCCCCCTGTATAAAGGGAAATGGTCCGATTTTAAAAAAAAGTATGTCGAATGAAAGAAGTATATATAAAGTATTTATCATTAAAGAATAAAGTTGATTCATGCATTTTTTAAAATATAAAATATAAACAAAGATAAAAATATATTATAAAAATATTTTAATTAATGATCAATGTGGTTAATATTATTTAAAATAATTATTAAATAAATTTTAATTGAATGATGAACCAAACAAATTTTCTTCAAAGCTTCTCAGTATTACTTAATTTGAAAAATATTCTAAATCTCAATTAAATTGAAAAAATGACCAAGTCAAAAAGAGTAAGAATTGTGAATAGATTTTTTGTATTTTGCAACAATTAAAAGAACTGGTTTGAATAAAACGCATTAACATTATATAGGATGTTCAGTAAGTAAGGAAACGGGTTTCTATTGTTCTCATTTTTTATAACAATTGACCTGTTTTCTTACTTACTGAACACCCTGTATATTTAGCACAGATAATAGTATGTTGATTTCCAAATACGTGCACGTGATTATTTAGTATTTTTTGTGGATTTTTTGACTATCGATAATAACGCGGGTTTATGAAATATTAGTCGATATAGTTGTCTTGTGGAGCAAAATTCGACGCCTGTACAGTTGTCCCATTAATATTATCACCTGTTTTTAAAGTGTTTATTACATTTATTATTTTATACACACTGTATAAAAAGAAATATTTTTATTAATAAAATGTATTAAAATGTATTTATTAAAATGTATTCAAAACAAATAAGAGATATTTTTTCAAAAAAATCTAAAATATGTATTTAGTATATNAAAAATGTATTCAAAACAAATAAGAGATATTTTTTCAAAAAAATCTAAAATATGTGTTTAATATGCGATAACAAAAATTATGAGCAAAAAAAAACAGTCGTTTTTCATGAACATTTTTTGTGCCCCTTCCATTATTAAATTTCTAAATACGTCATTATTTTTGAGTTAAATATTTTCAATACATTTTAGTTTTGATCATAAAAAAACCCCAGCACATAAAAAGATATCTGACAGTGATTAAAATCACTATAATAAAAAACACTTCGATGCAAATCNATCACTATAATAAAAAACACTTCGATACAAATCTGTAGATAATGTTTCATTTTAAAAAATTAATGGATTATTCCAAAAGCTACATGACCTCCTATTTCCTTATATATATATCATAATTACAAGTTTTATGATTTTTAAGTGTAATATATAAATATATATATAAATAGTACTTATCTTAAAACAAATATAATGATACATATATTTTTCAAAAAGTGATAGCATTATAAAGTTAAAAATATAAAAAAGAATTTTTTTACAAAAATCGTATTTTTTATTAATTTTAATGTTTGTTTTCGCCGTGAAAACAAATTAAAGTCAGAAATGATTTTTTTTTCATATAAAAAGATATTATATAAATTTTAGTTTCATATATATATATAAGTGTCAGTATTTCCTGAACACTTCCAAAAATTAAGTTGAAAAAGTTCTACTTTCTATACGCATTTTAAAAGGTTTGCACCCCCCCTGTATAAAGGGAAATGGTCCGATTTTAAAAAAAAGTATGTCGAATGAAAGAAGTATATATAAAGTATTTATCATTAAAGAATAAAGTTGATTCATGCATTTTTTAAAAAGTTATAGCAACATAATGTTAAAAAATGTAAAATATAATATCAAGAATTTTTTCACAAAAATAGCATATTTTTGCATACGGTAGTCATTTTCACCATGAAGACAAGTCCAGAGGTCAAATTTTTTTTTTNCATTCAACACTAATATTATAATAAACGCATGATCTATAAGAAAAAATCAAAATAAATACAGAAAACAAACAATTTTGGTTTACAATACTATCCAACAAAAAAAAAAAAAAAAAAAATAAAAAAAAAAACACATCATAGTAAAATTAATACCTTCTCAGCTTCGCATCGAAGCTAAAAAAAATCAACTAAAAATATTAACTGGATCAAAAGTTATTTAAGTTGTCAATGAGTGGTGGGCCACTCTGTATATACATATATATATACGTATATGTTAATATTCATTATATATCCCTACAGCCGACGCCGCTGCCGCCGTATATACCTCGTGTTTAACGTTCCCCCCGCCACGCCCGCCCACAAAACACGGCTATACCTCATGCATGATACGTTTACGTACTTAAGTCGCTTTACATGTATATATATATATTCTAATTACTATTAAAACGTATACGCTTTATTCTCATTAAAAGAGATATATAGTGTATTCATTCCAATTACGGGGGATGATTCCCGTATCGTCATTTTTTGTCACTGCCTCCACGTTGCGCGCCGCTGGTTTCCTTGGATGTGGTAGCCGTTTCTCAGACTCCCTCTCCGGAATCGAACCCTGATTTCCCGTTACAACCATGATATTGATAGCAACTACTATCATAACATGAAACTAAAAAGTGACAAATAAATATAGTTTAAAAAATCTAAAAACACGCTTTTAAAGCACATCAACTAAAAAGTTCAAAATAATTTTTAAAATAAGCTTAAAACAATAATGAACGAAAAGTACTAATATTATTGTGATAAAAGCGTGAGTGCTTTGTGCATTTTTTTCGTATATTGAGCGCCTGAAGCTTTTATCACAATAATACTAGTGTTTTAAGCTTATTTTAAAAATTATTTTGATCTTTTCAGTTCGATGTGCTTTAAAAGCGTGTTTTTAGTTTTTTTAAACTACATTTATTTTGACTGATAAGGGAATATATTGATGAGCATTTTTTTGCACAAATGTCACAAGAAAACTACATAATTTTATAACAATAAATTAAAATAAATAAATGTGCGATTTTTTGCATGCGAATGTGTAATAATGAACGGTGGGGTTTCTGTATTTAGACACTCCATAATGTACAGTCAATATGTGCTTATTGTTAACACTAGAATAGGCAATCCTTATCAACTAATATGTGTAATGTTGATAAAATAGTCAATTGTTATTTCTTATCAAAAATGTATTGGTCTCCAAATAAGTAAAATGAAAGAGCTCAGGATTTAATGGGTTAGTAATTTCGTTAATTCTTGCAGAATGAAAGCTAGATAGTCTTCGGACTTTCTGTTGTAATTGTGAAAGGATAAAATAATAATTTTTAAACAATATGTTAAATTCAGAAATGAATTAAGTACTTTTTAGTATCTGTCTTATAGAATGATATCATGGGTTGTGTGTGTGGGAAACAAAATATTATTTTACAAAATAATAAATACTACATTATAGATCAAATAGGACAAGGGTAATTTTTCCCAAAATTTAATAAATATTCTATAATATGCAGGCTTGTGTTGCTGTAATATTGAAATTTAATTTTAGAGGTTTTAGTTCAGTATATCTTGTTGAAGATACCAATAATACCAAGTATGTATTAAAGTGTATATACTGTCATGATGAAAAAGACAAGGAAAAGGCTCAGAAAGAAGCTGAAATGCATTCAATCTTGGATAATTGCTGCAAAAATAGTTATATTATCAAACTAATTGGATATAAAATGATTGAAAAGTGTCCAATATTTTCCAAAACACCAAAGGATACATTTTTAATGTTATTACCTTTTTACAAGGTTAGTTTATTTCATTCTTATTTTAAAGTTATCAATTTAGAGTAGGACTTCTAATTTATTCAGAAAACTATTTATTTATATCAACATATATCAATTACAAAAATTATTTTGTTAATAATTATCGTCTGTATTTTGTAGTTTTACTTTCATTTTAAAGTTAAAAATTATTAATACTTATACAGGATGATTCATTTATCATGAACCTCTTAATCAATAAAGTAAAATATTATTGAAATTTTTTTTCAAATGTTAAATAATTAACTAGCTTATTTCATGATTAAAAATCTTATTAGAAAATGACTAGTCAACAACAAATTTTAGGACAGTAATTCGGAAGTAATTAACATTTTATGGTATTGGTTGTAAGAAAGACATGGTTTTTGTCATTTTTATCATTAGTTAATTCTCGTCTGTACTTTTAACCCACTCAAGTAAAAATTTACTTACTTAAAAAGGTTAATAACATCCAAAATACTGGTCAAAATGCTATTTCCTTAATTAAATAACTTTTTATTTTTATTTATTTATTTTTGATATACTAAATAAGTTAGTTAATAATGTATTTTGCTATTTCAAAAATTAAAGTTGACAGCCTTGTAATGTATAAGGAATAAACATAAAGAGTAATTTATGATTTGTAGATTCTTTTACATAAAAGAAAAAAAAAACTTCTAAATATTAATTGTATTTTTTCATTAATTATGTGTTTTATGATATATGATTTACTCTATATATCATATATTATACATTGTAATACAGTGGCACCTAAGTTAAAAATCGTAGGTAGGTAAAAAATATTTTAAGTTTTAATACTGCTACCAACACCCAAGAATAGCAAAAGACTTAATTTTTTTACTTTTCATTTCTAATGTTTTTCAATATTTGAAAAAAATTAGTAGGTACATATATTTCATAACAGTATAGGTAATTTATTGGTATAGATTGGTTGACTTTTTTTGGTAATTTAAGAAAAAATTTTAGCCACCCAATAGAAAAAATAAGTAAAAAATATTTAATGGATAGATTGGGTTTAATATATTTTACAATTTTAAGTAACTTTTTTTTTATTACTATACTTGCAAATAATTTGCATATTCTGACATGACAATTTTAAACAATTATTAACTAATATTTAACACTTTATATTCTATTCTAATCAATCTTCATAACTCGATGGTATTCATATATTATGCCTGTAAATTTTTTATATTTATCATGATAAATTTTATTGAATATAAATTATTAGTCAGATTGAAATGTTTTTGCAACTAAAATCTCAAACTTAAATAGATTAACAAAACTTCAAATTTATATAGTTTCAATACATAATCATTATGTTTTAATTACTTATAATAGTTTTTTAATAGTTTTTTATAATAGTTTTTTACACGGTGACATCAACCAACCATACGTTTCTTTTAAAGAATGAGCAGTTGTTTTAATGAAACTTAGAGATTGAAATTGCTATTGTAGTATATAATATAAATATACATAATCCATTACAAGCTTAACCTACCTACTCTATGTTTTATTATATTTGAAAACAAAAAAATTACAGAAAACTGATATTAGTATTAAAGGTTATAAGAATTGTCATTTACATCTCCTACACCTCTTATTATTTTAGAAAAGTCATTATTATTTTTAATTATCTTATTTTTTAGAACGGATCCCTTCATGATCGTTTAATATTATATCAAAATCAAATTAATTTGAAAACAATAATCCAACACTTCCATATCATTTGTCTTGGAGTCAAAGTTTTTCATGATGTTTCTTATGCACACAGAGACATAAAACCTGCTAATATACTATTTGATCATAATAACAAACCAATCATAATAGACTTAGGTGACTACATTTTAAAAATCATAACTCTATATTAGTTAACTGCAAATTCTAAAACAAATATTGTTCAGGTTCAGCAGCTCCAGCCAAAGTAGTTATAACTTCACAGAAAGATGCTCAAGAACTTCTTGACGATGTAAATGAAAGGTGTTCTATGACATACAGAGCTCCAGAGTTATTTAATATTGATTTAGACTCGGTCATTGATGAAAGGATAGATGTTTGGGTAATACTACAAATTTTTATATATGTGTATATAAAATTATAGTATACAAAGTAATTCACTTGTCATAAACAACTTAAAGAGTTACAAAATAAAAACAACTTATAGGAGTTTATTAAGATATTATAGCACATAGTAGACATTTAATTGTTGTCAATTCTCTATCCTTATTACTAAAAAGGTTACCAAAAATATTTTTGATTATAAAATTAAAAATTTATTAACTTAATTAATTTATATTTGAAATATTTTTTTTTTAAATTACAAACATCTAAAATTAAAAGAAATCTAAAAAATAATTAATTTACTTCAAAAATTCTTTTACAAACAGTCAAAAGAAAAAGATATATTTAAAACTTGGAATATTATAATTCTAAAACTTGAACTAATTATTTTAAAATAAATACTCTTCTTAAATATAATTACTAATTTAATCAAATTTGACTTATATTATTTTAGTTTATTTAATTTTTTGTGAAAAAAAAATTAACTTGTGTATTATAGTATATGATTATTATATTTAATTATATCAGATAAAATATTTTTTAGTTAAAAATAATAATTAAAAATAAAATTAAAATAGTAGACATTTTAAATAAATACTTTAAAAAAATCATTTAACAAATCATTGAACTATTTAAATTGAATTCAAATACAATTGCTAGAATAATTATTTGTATTTTTTTCTTTTTCAAGTCACTAGGATGTTTACTATATGCTATGTTATATGGGAAGTCTCCTTATGATTTGGTTTATGAACGTGGTGATTCAGTTGCATTAGCTGTGATAAGTGGAAAACTGTATTTTCCTCCTAATTCTTATGAAGTAATTAAAAATTATTATTGTTACACATATTTTCTTTTTTAATATAAAAAATATATTACTAATATACAGGATATTTTAAAATTTACTATTTTTTTTTTTTTTTTCTCTCGTTACCTCTATAATGCTATTTTATTTAT